GATGAGACCAATGACTGTTGTGTCATCTGCAAACTTTAGGAGCTTGACAGAGGGGTCCTTCGAGATGCAGTCGTTGGTGTAGAGTGAAAACAGCAGAGGGGAGAGCACACATCCCTGGGGGACACCTGTGAAAGATTTTCTCCAGAATAATGAAATTAAAAGCTATCATCAACAACCAGAGTATGAACATGTATGGAGGGAGACTCAGGTGGAGGCACGGTGACACGGCATCGTCCACTGACTGTTCCTCTCTGTTCACACTGATCATTACTGATTGTTAATGAGTTTAATCTCTGAAGTGACTTCTCGAAGACCTTCCTGACTGACCTTAGGCCCACTGGTCTATGACCAGGCATGGGATTTCTTAGGCACTGGAACCACAGCTGAATTTTTAAAGCAAACTGGGACTTTTGACTGTTCACTGTGGCTTTTCCATCGTAGGAACCTACCAAAACGTTACGAGTCGTGAGATGCTCGTCACAGGTTTGTTTGTTTCCACGCCCTCTGCCCGCTTTGGAGGTGCGTTCCTGGAGCTACATTCAACACCCCTCAGGTGGGAGCACTAATTCCAGGAACGCCTGGGAGAGGGGGTGGGTGCACACAGAGTCAGCACCAGTGATTGCCCCTTCCTCCTCTAAACAGAGACCAACAGCATTAAGGATATACAGCTCATTAGGTTCCAACAACCTAATGAGCTTAAGTGAGTTGTTAAAAATACAGTTTGAGCACATGAAGTATATTTCATGTTCATATTCACCTGTCTGTAAAGGTTATGACGATTTATTCCACTTTTTGTGATTGACTTTTAGCTTAAGACAATTGTACCTGAGGACTCAGTGTCTGTGTAGGATGGAGGTGATTCACAGTAAAGCTGAGCAGAGACAAAAACTTGTTTGAGCTACATTATGATGTCAGATTCTGCTTCACGGCTGCTTTTATGTTGTAACTCTGATGCAACAGAATAAACTTGTCAGCAGTCAGATGACAGTGTTTTGGCCTGTCTCCCCTGGTCACTCTGGGCCCCTGAGTCATCCAGGGTTGCCCCCTGATCCTGCACCTCTGCTGCAGCTTGTGGACCTGCTGACTTGCCTGTGTAGCATCAGCCATGTAATGCAGGATGCGAGAGCTTTGCAGAGTCTGACCTGGTTTACAGTTGTGTTGTGACTCAGGTCAGGCCGAACTGCACCATCATCACTATCAAGTTTGCTGTTTGTGTGTATGTGGTTGCAGCCCACGCTGCCAGCACACATTTGACCTGGTTTGACTGACAGGTCGATATTTATCTGCGATGTGTGAGACTTCCTCTTCCTGTGTCCCTTTCAAGCCCCCACACATCTCACAGGAGTTTCTCTTTGTTGACATCTGGTCAGCAAAATGCTTCCAGGCCATTTATCAAGATATGTTACTGCACTAAAATCCGGGCCTGGTACCCCACTTGAGGGGTTTCTTCCCTCGCTGTCCACTCATGGAGGACGCTGGCTGCCATGTTGATGAGGTGCTGTGCCCGGACCCAGCTGGGTGGCAGGATGCAGCCTGTTGCTGTTTCTTTTTGGGGGGGGGGTATATTTTGTTTGTAGCAGCCATGTATGTATAAAGAAAATGTGTTATTATTAGCCTCACCAAACTGAGTGGCTTAATGTAAATTGATCTCAGGCTGACACTGCAAAACACTGGGTGTTTTTCCACTACAGGGTTAATGCTGTTTGACTGTAAATCAGTAAATTTGCAGCTTAGCATTAAGTCTGTGTAACTCTTCTTTCCCCTTTGGTGAGCAGCAAACAAGCAACACACACAGAGAATAAATTTAAACCCTTTTTTAATTAAATCAATGTCAGTATGATGTTTAAACTTACTGAGCAACCAATGTGATTCTTCAGTCGCCTGTTCAGGACTTGCACAGCAGATCTGGGCCACATTTCACCACAAGAAAAAATTCTAGGTATGAGAAAGTGCCGCAGATTCTCTGAAATCTCTCGTCCTTGCCACTGAAGAACATGTCTGTTTGAACGGCTGTTTTGCTGTTGTAGTCTAGTGGAAATTAAAAGTAACCATTCACACTCCCAACATATATTTCGACATTTCCAGCACATGTACAATAAAGAGAAATGAACAGCAAGTTAAAAAAAAATGCAGCGGCTGCCCGGGCTTCCATGGAAGCAACATGACGGGTTTGGGGACAGCTTGGCCCCAAAAACCACAGCATAATTTCATCAAAGGACAGAATCGGCCAAGGAGGTGTCTCTTGTCTTAGTAATGTATTTCACCAGCTATCCGCAGGAGTTTCCAAACTGAGACACCAGCTCGTTGCGCATGGCTGTTAACGATCACCTTCGGCTTCACGATCTGCGTCATGGTCATGATGAGGTGTGGTCTGTTTGCTGAGGGAGGGGTTCCCCTGTGTGAGGCTGCTGTTGTGACTGGAAACAGGTGAGGTGAAGCTGCTGCAGGGGTTTTTTGAATCAACCAGGGACTCTGCTGTGGTCAGTATGACTGACATCCAGGAACAACATGTCTGACTCACACACAGTCACATTCATTCTTCCCATAACTGTTTATTTCCTTATTTTCCTACATCAT